TTAAGAAATGAGATGTCTTTTCAAAAATACTTTCTTTGGAAATTAATGGAAATGTGGTTATTTTCTAGGTAATTATTACTGGTTTATTTATGTCCAGTAAGAGAAAGCTATGGTTAATGTTACGGGCTGTCGGTTTCAGTCATTTAATCAAGAGAATTGCGTTAAAGTTAATTTCATTTCTATCTCTTTGCAACAAAACAGAAGTCTTAAACACTCGATATTCTTTTTGATTGAAGAACAGTTCGATTTTTCATATTGATAATGATAAGTGATCTGTTTAATCTTTCATATTATTCACGAAAGATAACTTTTAAGCTTTTTATGTATTTTATGAATTTTGAACTGATTAGAAATTAGAATCAAAGGTTTTTTTTAAGGGGATATGAAATCGATCAAGTATCCTGAAATGGGTAATGGAAAGAAACCGGTTGAAAACCCCTGCTCAAGATAGTTGAGGCACGACACGGTGCAGATCCATATATGATTTGATAATCATATCTTCCAATTCACAGGAATGCATCTTTAACCTAATCAAAATGAAATTAGTACTACTGAATCTCATCTAACCATACAAGTTATCTAAATAAAACAATGATTTAGGTATAATGTAGATTATTTTAAAAATCAAGGCTGAAAGGTTATTATAAACATTCGAATCTACTCACTCTTTCATTTTATAAACAATTTCATCTTCAAAATGTCTTTAGATCATATTTCTATTGTAAATAAATTTCAACAATCTTTTTGTGGCGTTTATTACCCTCATATAAACTGTTTAAGATAGCTTACCAGGCAAGTTAATATACACCCACCGGCAATTTTGATTTTAAATAAAACTATTTGGCAGTAAGTAATAATTACCAGTATGAAATATTCAACCTTCAGTCATACACTTCTTTTGAACATTTAGGGCGATACTCAATAATATTACCACGTTTCATCAAAATCTGTCAAGAATTGGGCCTTCTAGAGTGTATACGAGCTAAAAATTGAACGAGTTTTTAAGAATAGGGGCTATAACTCATACTTAATATTTTTCGATTATTCGGATTTTCAATAGGGTTGATAACAAACACTCACATCAAATTTTATCAAAAGACGTCAAGAATTGCACCTTCTAGAGTGTTTACGAGCATTTCAAGAACAAGGGCAATAACTTATACTAAATATTTTTCGATTTTTCTGATTTTCAATAGGGTTTATTCTTGGGTGATTTCAAACCAATCAGTCAAGAATTGCGCCACATCATCCAGAGCCGAGTTTCAGCGCCATGTCAATCGACCCGACCAGATCTAACGAACAACCAAACAAACAACACAGAATCATCCAATTTGAACCAATCAAACTACCAACTACTACGACTACTAACCAACTAAAGATGAAAGAGTTATTCCCAGTTTTTAACAAATTCTTTTAGTGCAGTGGGTTCACCAATATAGGTTTTGTTAAATAATTAATTCCATCCCTTAAAATGTTAAAAATCATAAGGTTGCCTTTATAACTTTTGTGTTAATCATAAACGATTAAAAACCAAACCATGGCATGCGCCACCCATGAAATAAATTGATGAATCCATTTTATATGGTTAATGGATTTGAAGTTTATTGTATGTGATTTATACTGAATCACGAATTATGCTTCCTTTGTAATCGTAATAGATTATGATGCAACAGGCAGAATCAATATTTTACATTCATGAATGTTTTATTTCATTTTTTTCCAATAAGTGCCTTTATAATTACTACGTTTTTATAAACTTTTAATCAATATTGGAATAAAATTGCAAAGTAAAGATTCGTGTATTTAGAGACATAAAGCAATATCTGTAAGATAAGTATCTCAACTTAAAGATATTATCCCAGGTAGATGTTTTCAAAATGATCACAATACCTAAACATACATGGTTGAACAAAAATGCAGAATAGACTTTCCGACCAAAGTTCGAATTTTTCACGATTTTAAAACTCGGACTGACAATGTTGCTATAAATACAAAGCTGATAACAAGTTTATAATTGTCAGGTCATGTGTATATAGAGTCACTGCCATTAATCACGATTTGAACACATTTTGAAACTTGAGTAAAATAGATTCTATAGAAATATTAAATCTTGTGAGAACCTAACTTTAAGGATCAATAATTAGTGAAGAACCAACATGAAATAATGATCCTGATCTATCTTAATGATTATTCATATCGACCATATGAACAATATCATTACAGGTAGTGTATATACTAGCTTCACTATATTAATATAAACATCACATTATTATCTTCATTAGTCCGGAGATATTAATCTCTAATACATTTAGATTTAACCAGAAGTGACTTTAGTTAACCTGACATATTTATTCAAGAATTCATCAAATTTTGCTCATTTGTACAACAAACTTACCCATAACACTTTTCAAATTCATATTGTGATAGTGGGTTCAGAAGTAGTTAAATTTATTTAATGTTATTCTAATACATATATAATAATAATAATAATAGTTTATTAAAGTGTAACAAATCATTACATTACATATCAAAATCTATATACAGAATAAAAAAAATGATTTCCGGCCATATTTGGCCTACGTGACTCTTCATGTGACTCTATGTGATTAAAGATGATTAAAGATGATTAAAGAGTACCTTTCTATGATATATCCCTTTAAATGAAAATGGAATTTTTTTTGCCAGGCCTGTGGCATTACTGTTGATTAATTTATTTTGTCTATACCCAACTTCAAGATCTTTAGCGCGTACAACCTATATACCAAACGCGGCTGTGGTAACATACTACATAACATTTCATATAGGCATACACGAAATTTGAGGTTATAATTCTACGATCATCTGTAATCCACATGTCATAACATTATCCATGAACTTTGAATGTTTATATAAGAAATAACAATACCCAGTACCTAGATATTCCTGGGTTATTCTGACTTTAGTTCCTATAGTTTATATTCACTTAATTTCCTGCCACTAGTGCATTTTATTGATGCTTTAATTCTCTTGACACACTGAATTGACACAAACAATTTATAGTGAACTCTACTGAGGGATAGTAATTCATAGTGTATATATTTTATACTTCTTAATCTGACAAAACGTATTTGAATATCATTCCAATTAAGAGAAGTTTGTCGATATAATTCTAATGCTTAATGGTTCTTATCATGAAAATTAAAATTGACTATGACTAAATTGAATGGAACAGTCTACTGAGTTTCCTGACTTATACACGACTTATAAACTAATAATCAATGGAGATTATCATTTGTTGTCGGGAGATTTTATTTTTAAATTATTTCATTTAGAAATGTCAGGCAAGTTAAAAAAAAATTCCGGGTAAAAAGGTGTGAAAAACTTCATCAATTCGAATAGCAAAAGCGTTATAGCATGCTTAAAAATTCTTATTGATTATAATGAACATTGACATTTGTTTTTTTGTTTTTACATCTGGAGCCTAATTACTTCGAAGCCTCGAAAAAAGCATTCTTTAATATCGTTATACTAATTAATGGATCGACAGCAATGTTATTGTCAACTTTGGCAATCTAAAATCAACTAATACAATTATTTTATTTCAACGACTTTTACAGATTATAGTGATGTATAAAACGTGAAATAACCTGTTCCTGCAATTTTCTTTTACATATGTTACCTTAAGAGAAAGGCTCACTTTGCTGGATTTTGCCTTAAGAGTAAAATTAAGACCTGTTAATTAAATTTGATTAAAAATACCAACTCTACCTAAGCTAATTTCAACATGGTACAATGGCGTGTGTTCGTGTTTACCATTTCCAAAATAATGACAGTACGAAGAGTATCTGGACAAGCGACACTATAGTCAATGGATTTTAATGGCGAATCAAATATCTTGAGCTAGAAGAGACACTACATATGACACATTTCTGAATTGGTCAGCTGTGATGTAATCCAATAGGCCTAGACTTCAGAAGAATTGCTTTCATTAGATAAATTGTGTGAACCCTTTAAGTAACATTTTAAGATTAATTCAGATTATTTAGCGAGGTCGTTGCAAGGCTTTGTATTTAAAGGTTACATCAGTGCATCATGATAAACAGTGAACTTATCTATAAATTGTAAATAAAAATAAATTCAATCAATATTGTATTCAACCATGAAATAAAATGTAGTTAGTAGACTTACATTCCTTTCTAAAAGATAGCTTGCCAGGCAAGACACGATATTTCGGTGAAATATTATCCGATCATCGCGAAAATCGATAGGGATCATCTTCATAATGACATTGACATACAAAATAAAAATCAAAAGAATCTGTAAACAATTGTAGCCTGTAGAGTGAGCACGAGTTGCACAATATAGCTAATAGAGTAAAACGTCAGGTCAGACACGATATTTCGGTGAAAAATTATCCGATCATCATGAAAATCGATAGATTATCATGAAAATCAATAGGGATCATCTTCATAACGACATAGACATACAAAATAAAAATCAAAAGAATCTGTAAAGAATTGTAGCCTGTAGAGTGAGCACGAGTTGCACAATATAGCTAATAGAGTGAAACGTCAAGTCAGACACGATATTTCGGTGAAAAATTATCCGATCATCACGAAAATCAATAGGGATCATCTTCATAATGACATTGACACACAAAATAAAAATCAAAAGAATCTGTAAAAAATTGTAGCCTCTAGAGTGAGCACGAGTTGCACAATATAGCTAATAGAGAAAAACGTCAAGTCAGACACGATATTTCGGTGAAAAATTATCCGATCATCACGAAAATCAATAGGGATCATCTTCATAACAACATTGACATACAAAATAAAAATCAAAAGAATTCATAAAGAACTGTAGCCTGTAGAGTGAGCACGAGCCAAATGTGAACGGACCGACGGACGGACGGACCGACGGACCGACGGGGTGATTACAATATACGCCCATCTTACGTGTGGGCGTATAAAAAGATAAAAATTCTATGTCAGTGTTTCTAAGCGAGTCATTGAAATTCTTACCTGGTGTTAAAATTGTAAATAAAACACACAATATCCCATAATCACCGCCAAGTTTCATGATTGTTCGGTAGCATGTTCAGAAATAGTTTAAAACATTATAAAATGGCATTATGTTGTAGAGTTGTATTCTGGTGTGTTCGATACTCCGTTCTATAGCCACTGATTAAATACCAGGTACCATAGTGAATAACTGAATCTCAACTCTCTTTCCACTGTGTCGACTTCTCAATATACCTCGTTTACTCTTTTAAATCATCAACTTCCAACATTCACTGTCACATTGCCTCGTTTTCACTCTAATCGATTATCTCAAGTCGTATGCTTCCATTCTACTCTCCAGCAGCAGCTTTAGTTAGGATTTCACGTGGATTTTCTACAGACGACAACAAAATGCAATCTTTTACTAGATTAGCTTTAATTTCCGCCAGAAAACTTCACATTAGCCGATAATCTACGTAAAAGCTTATTTTAGGTTTTTATCTAGTTTTTATCTCACATCATGAAAAAGAGCAACCTTATGAAAAAGAAGAAATGTACATTTTTAATTTACGGTCATTTTACCGGAGGTGATTGATATCGTAACGAAATAAATGAAAGATTTTATAGATATTCAATTGACGACGCATCAACCTCATTTTCAGAAAGAATGATCGGTCATGTAAACCACGAGGATCTGAATGCTATTGTTTTGATTGTATTTTGCCAAGCCCACAGTCGAAATTACCTGTAAAATGATTTATATGCTTCTTATTTGGATACCGGTTAATAAGTGAAGAACCAAAAAATATCTGTACATCTGATGACGATCATTTGACATAGGTTTTGTACTGATGCAATCATTTTTAATAGTATCTTATTTACTTCATTATTTTGTCATCAATATGTCCCCTCGTCGTAAATGTTTTATTGGATTTTCTCTGAATTCTAAGAGATTCCTTCTACTTCAACATTGATTTTTACATCGACTAACGAAGAGTTTTTTCATGGTGACAGTATTAACTGCCAAATTAGAAAGTTGAGACTCAAGTAGAATTTAAAAGTTAGTAACTAAATATTACTCATTTTGTGAAATGCCATTATTTCTTATTTCATTTTCTTTTCTAAATATTCCAGGTTAATTTGTTGAACCAATACAAAATTTTCCGTTATCCATGTTAAAATGTTATTATTAAATAAATTAAAATGCAAATCAGTTAATATATGCTCGTCGCAACTATTAAACAATCACCAGAATAAATGTGAATAAAAGGATATTTCTCTAGAAATTATACAGACGCAAATTCTTTTAGTGTCTACTGAAATATAATATAGTGCGAAAAACACGACCACGTCCATCTCATGATAAACTACAGTATAATAGCTTAATGTGTTAAAAACTCTTAACAAGATATCGTTAATGAATGTCACATGATAGAAATATTTAACAGGTTTAAGCCAACTTTCGATGACTAGCTAGAACAAAGTGTGGAAATCAAATAACTAGTCCGATGAGGCTAATTTTAAGACCATGTTTTAGTCTGCGAGACTAATTTTAAGTCATTTTACAAACAAAAAAGGGTTTTTATTATAAACCTGGTCACATATGAATTAATCATTTAAATAAAATTGACTATGTCAAGTTAGTTATGTCAGGGTAATATCAAACTAGTCTAAAAGGCAAGATAGTTATGCCAGGGTAATACCAAACTCGTCTGAAAGGTAAGGTTTTGTCTTGGTAATATCAATCTAATCTGAAAGGTAAGGTAGTTTTGTCTAGGTAATACCAAACTAGTCTGAAAGGTAGGGTAGATCTGTCGTGAAACTAGTCTGAAAGGTAAGGTAGTTTTGTCATGATAATATTAAACTAGTCTGAAAGATAATATACATCTGTATTGGTAATGTCAAACTAGTCTGAAAGGTAATGTAGATCTGTCGTCGTAATATTAAACTAGTCTGAAAGGTAATGTAGATCTGTATTGGTAATGTCAAACTAGTCTGAAAGGTAATGTAGATCTGTCGTCGTAATATTAAACTAGTCTGAAAGGTAATGTAGATCTGTCAGGGTAATATGAAACTAGTCTGAAAGGTAAGGTAGTTTTGTCATGATAATATTAAACTAGTCTGAAAGGTAATGTAGGTCTGTAAGGTAGTTATGTCAGGGTAATAGCTAACTAGTCTGAAAGGTAATGTAATGCCAGGGTAATATGAAACTGGTTTGAAAGGTAAGGTAGTTTGGTCATGATAATATTAAACTAGTCTGAAAGGTAATGTACATCTGTATGTAAGAGATAAAACACGACTACGAGTAGGAGTGTTTTATCAGACTTATAAACCGTCAAATATTTGTCATGGACCTAAACATAACATGTTTCGGTAATCTTTTAATCATGTATACTATGAACATAACGGTGTACATGTATTATGTTTATATATTTCCAATGTTGCTCGTGCGTTTAGTTAGCCTAATTCACAAGGTTTTACAATTAATGGTCATGTGATAAATCCACTCACGAATGTACGTGCACGTGAGGTCAATTTCACTTTCATATAAAACAGATGACTGTCAATGTATCAAGCAGACGTTGATAAACAACTGATTTGTGAGCAAACAGGTGAGGACATTTACAGCATCAAGATTTTGATCGTATTGTATAAACTCACTATTACTCTGTGAAGGTCTACTAAAACGACTATAATAACTATTTTTAATCTGTTTCCGATGGAGGTTAACCAGTACTTTTTTTTCAAAAGTTAACGTAACGTAACCAGTTGTATTGTTATGAAATAATATAAATATTTACGAAATGATCCGAAGTTTACAGTGACATGAGCATTACATAATATAAAACCACCCAATATTAGCAACCTTTACTTCGACAATCTTTTTGCTTTTATTTCAGGACATCGAAGTGACGCCGTCCGTTTGTATAAGCGAACTTCAGAGAATCAAAAAGCTTCAGTGTCTGATATTCTATAAGGTGAAGTTAAGAAACCGAAACTTCAAGATGTTAATAAGTTGAACACAGAAATGTCACGTGATAATGAAGTAACAGCGAATCAAGACAATGGCACAAATGAAAATGTTGAAACTACGAATCGTAGCGATACATTATTACCCATGACCAAAACTTTCTCAGACGGACGAAAGAATATAAATGTTGCAGTAAATATTTCATAAAAAAAACGTCGTTCTATATATTTTTGTCCGACCAATAACATTTTGTTTTGTTAACAAGTTGTACAGCATGAGTTTGATGCAATTGTAAAACCTGCTACGGGGTTTTGATACAGATGTAAAATCGCCATTTGACAATTGTTAAACCGGCTACGAGGTTTTGATTCGATTGTAAAACCTCCTGGCAGCACTCATTACATTCATTTAACGATTTAATGGAACCCCGAACATCAAAGAGATTTGCCGTCATAGGTTTATAATGGTAATGTCAAACTAGTCTGAAAGGTAATGTAGATCTGTCGTCGTAATATTAAACTAGTCTGAAAGGTAATGTAGATCTGTATTGGTAATGTCAAACTAGTCTGAAAGGTAATGTAGATCTGTCGTCGTAATATTAAACTAGTCTGAAAGGTAATGTAGATCTGCCAGGGTAATATGAAACTAGTCTGAAAGGTTAGGTAGTTTTGTCATGATAATATTAAACTAGTCTGGAAGATAATATACATCTGTATTGGTAATGTCAAACTAGTCTGAAAGGTAATGTAGATCTGTCGTCGTAATATTAAACTAGTCTGAAAGGTAAGGTAGATCTACCAGGGTGATATCAAACTAGTCTGAAAAGTAATGTAAATCTGCCAGGGTAATATCAAACTAGTCTGAAATGTAAGGTAGTTTTGTATAGGTAATATCAAACTAGTCTGAAAGTTATGGTAGTTTTGTATAGGTAATATCAAACTAGTCTGAAAGGTAGGGTAGATCTGTATAGGCAATATCAAACTAGTCTGAGAGGTTATGTAGATCTGTCGTAGTAATATTATACTAGTCTGAAAGGTAGAAAGAATTTTGGTTATTGAATAAGGACTATATATTTATGTACTAAAATTCGATTGCAAACAATGTTCTTAGAAAGATAAAGTAATTACTAGTTTTATTATCTAATGAATTGTCTGGCTTTTCAATTTCTTTCTAATCAACTCGCGAAAATTAATCAATTCATTTCTTCTGGCTCTATGCTTTTGTTTAACACGCAAACAATACATTTACATGGACATTTTCACGTATTTCTTTTGTTCTATGAATTTGAATTTGTCTAATACCTAATACCTCAACCTTTTAACTGACATTTACGCAAAATAACTTACAAACACATCTTCTACTCGGCTTCGACTTTGTCTTAAACTAGCATTGCCATTAAAGTTACTCCCAGACTTGAGTTGTCAATTGAAGAGATATGTATTCTGCATCTATCGTACGTTTGTGAAGAGGAAACTCTTATAACAATTTGCTATTTTAGTTTTATAATAATTATTATGGTCTATTGAATAGGTAACAAAATGGGTACTGAACATAGAAATAGTTATATAGACACAGCTTTATGGAACAACAATCACTGGTTAAAGTTTTATGCAACGTTTCGACGTGCTTCCCCCGTCGTCCTCAGGCACATAATGAGAAGAAGTGATGGGCAAACTATATATACATTAATGCTCATTATTAAGAACACACAAGAGATAACTATTGCTGGTATTGGAGTCTTTTATTAATAGAAATTACATTGTTCATATAACTAACTATGCTTAATGTTGGAAATACCAGCAATAGTTGTTTATTTGATCTTCAATTAATCTTTTTTAATTCATTTACTTTACTTCAATTATTTTACTTAATCAGCCTGTATGTTATTTTAAGAATTATGTACCTCTTATTGTACCTGTTAAAATTTAATGTAATGTATCAATAAACCATTTATCTCTTGTGTGTTCTTAATAATAAGCATTAATGTATATATAGTTTGCCCATCACT